CCGATCGAGGGTCCTTAATTCCCAACTTCTCTTTCATTTCTCCCTTCTGAACACTTGGATAATTAAATCCTTCCATCCATCTATCCACTCCTCCACCCTTCCATGCATCCATCCGTCTCCCAGCTCTCGCCGGTGAACCAGGCAAATGGAGCCGGTGGTATTTTCACAGCGACCAGGCGCATCCCCTGGTAGCTTAATGGGGGCCTGTGCAATCACACGCAGGGAACATAATGCGTCCTCCCAGCGAAAATTTGCATAAAGGATAAATAAGAGAATCACAATGTGAAGTTTATTCATTTTTAAATCCTGCCGTGTTTGTGATTGAAGGCCCAACCTCAGATGTTTTCCTGATGTGTACCATTAAGGCTCAGGGCTGTGCCTAATGCCTCTTCTGGTACTGCGAGGGGACGTAATGTGGACATTTCCCACACTGGGGTCTCATTTTCAGCATGTACCACTTGGCTGGGGAGCGGGGGGTGGGTGGGAATGGGTTTGAGATGCATTCGGCATTATCTTGCAGCAGGCCCGTTCTCTTTCATTGGCTATAACCGAGCAGCGCATTAAATACAAAACATATTAATGTTCTCAAAAAAAAAAAAACCCTGGAGGGTCTTTACCACTTTCCCGTCAAAGGAGGGATGCATTCCTAGAGGGGAGGTGCAGGCGCTGTGCCATGCCAAGACTGGGCATGTAGGAGATTGGCATGAATGCAGCTGATGGAGGAACGCGTTCCCTTTTAACCGACTTAGAGGAGACAGTGAGAACCAAAGCAATCTGACCAGGAGTGGTATTCGCTTACTTTCCCTACCGGTTCGCAAATGTCAGCGTGCGGTGTCTTCTGCGCATGCCCTTTGATCGTGTGCGTGGCTTGCACATATGCACACGGTTTGAAAACATGCCTAAATAGGACAGCATAGAGCAGGGCTGACCCACGATTTCCACTACTGGTTTGATTCGAATTGGTTCGAACTGGCTGAATACCACCTCTGAATCTGATCATCTTACTGAAGATCTGGATCACACACTGATTTGCATTCAATATATGATATGATATGATTCTTGGTGGAAATATTTCAACAGTCCAAAAAGATATTCTTGTAAAGATACCCGTCGTTCCACTGATTAATTAGTCTGTTGGGAAATTAGTTTCCCTCCCTCCCTCCCTCCCTCCCTCCCTCTTTCTTTCTTTCTTTCTTTCTTTCTTTCTTTCTTTCTTTCTTTCTTTCTTT